TTGGGCTTGCTTGGGCCGCGTGGGAGCGTCGAAAGGTTGGAAAGGCGAGCAAGCAACAACCATTTGAAAAACACTATAAAAGCCAAACTTTTATAAACAAAAAACGTACAAACAAAAACATGTGTTCGGCCTCCCGGGGCCCTCTTGGGAGGTGTCGTGGGCCGTCTCGAAGCTATCCTGGCGCGTCCTGGAGCGCTCCTCCTCCTCCTCCTCCTCCTCCTCCTCCTTCGCCTACTCCTCCTCCCGCTTCCTCCTCCTCAACCCAGATGTTCCAAGAGAGGCCTCCGGGAACGAGCATCTGGAGGCCTCGAAGGGAGGCCTCCATGAGGGTCCCCCGGATATCTGAGGGCGCTCTACGCCCTTGGAAGCCGCGTGGCAGGGATCTCGGAGGTCACTTGGCCGTCCTGGGGGATTGGTGAACGCTCTTAGAGCCGTCTTGGGGTCCTGTGGGGCTCATCTTGGGACTCTGTCGGCGATTTGGAGGCCATCCTGAAGCCTCATGGGGATTCCCACATCTTGCGCGGAGACATCGTGGGCCAATCTTAAGAGTGCGATGTGCCGCCGGTGTGTTGCATCGCGCTGCAAGGGCGGCATAACGCAACGAACACGTAACAAAGTTCGCCCCTCCGTGTCACCCCTAAGCACTCCATTTGGGGCGCATGGCGCACTACCCAGTGGTGCATGTTTGGTGGCAACAAATATGTCGCACGTGCTCTTGGTGTTCGTGCCATTCAAATGGGGGTACGGCTTGTCAAAACCATGCGCGTTCGAAACACGAAACGTTTCTGGGTGATCATCTGGGCGTGGTCCTGTTTGTCGATCGCATTTTTTAACAACATGATATTTTGTTCCGGCAGGCCGGCTTTTCCAAGCGGCACCAACGATGGTTTTGTTCAATGCGCTGCACGAGTCGACAATCGAAGAAATCACAACGGCAATATTGAACAACACGGATGAAACCAGCCAGGAATTGCCGTTCAGACTGGCGGTCACGCCGTCGACAAGCTGACACGCTTCGAATGAACGAGGCATGGAATATGTAGCAGGCGGCGGGGAGGCAGACAGAACTCTGCAGGGTTCTCTCTTGCAGCGGGATGCTGTTGAATACTGGGCACTGTGCTGGAGACGGAGACTGTCGAGTACCGGGTCTTGTGTTTGAGCCGGAAGCGCGGCGGGCGCGCGGCGGGCGGAAAGAGGCGGGCTGGCGGCGGACGGGCAGATCAGAGTTTCAATAGAACTCCTAGGGATCCTCTCTCGCAGCGGGATGCCATTGAGTACTGAGTGCTGCGTTGGAGACGGATGATGCTGAATACTTGGCGTTGTGTTGAATGCGGAAACGAAGCGGACGGCGGGGGGCGGGCAACGGACCGCGGGTGAGCAGGCGGCGCGCGGCGGGCAGGCGGATCGGGAATGTCATGGAACTCCTGAGGATTCTCCTTTGCAGCGGAATGCTCTTGAATACTGGGTGTTGCGTTGGGGGCGGAGGCTGGTGAATACTGGTGTTGGCGATGGATGCTGTTGAGTACCGAGTGTGCCCGGAAGCACGGCGGCGGGCGGCGGGCCGGCGGCGGGTGGGCGGATCGGGATTCTAATAGAACTCCTGCTGGAACTCTCGTGAAGAGGATGCTGTTGAATACTGAGTGTTCCGTTTGAGATGAAGGCAAGTGAGCACTGCGTGTTGCACTTGCAGACGAATGCTGTTGAGTACTTGGTGTTGCGTTGAAGGCGGAAACGCGGCGGGCGGGAGGCGGGGCGGGCCGGCGGCGGACGGGCGGATCGGAATTTCAAACAAACTTCTGAGGTTTCTCTCTTGCCGCGGGATGCTGTTGAATACTGGGTGTTGCGTTGGATGTGTTGGAGACGGATGCTGTTGCGTATTGGAGGATGTGTTGAACACTGCGGGCGGGGGGCGGGCGGCGGGAGGGCAACGAGCGGGCGGGCGGCGAGCGGCGGGCGGGCGGATCGGGATGAAACTCCTAAGGGGTCTCTCTTTCAACGGGATGTTGTTGAGTACTGAATGTTGTGTTGGACGCGGAGGCCGTTCACTACTGGGTATTGCGTCGGATACGCATGCTGTTGGGTACTGGGTGTTGCACACGCGCGCGCGGCGGGCGAGCGGCGGGCCAGCGGCAGGCGGTCGGACTACAACTTCAATATAATGTCCACGGGTTCTTTCTTGCAGCGGGATGCCATGGACTACTGAGCGCTGTGTTAGAGACAGGATGCTGTTGGGTACAGTGTGTTGCGTTGAAGACGGAGGCTGTTAAATACTAGGTGTTGCGTTGAACGCGGAAGCGCGGCGAACGGGCGGCGAGGCTGCTGGATACCAAATGTTTTGCTGAAGAAGAATGTTGTTGAACACGGGTCTTGTGTTGAACGCGGAAGCAGGCCGGGCAGGCGGCGGACGGCGGGCGGCGGGACGGCGGCGGGCTGGCGGCGGGCGAACGAATCGGGTTTTGGATGAAATCCGAATAGTTCACTATGTCAGCAAAATGCTGTTGAATGCTAACTGTTGCGTTGGGGGCGTGCGGGCGACGAACCGCGGGCGGGCAAATGAGATTTTAATGGGGTTCCTTACCACGTCTCCCTTTCAGCGGGGTGCTGCTGAATACTAAAAATTGCGTTGGAACTGGAAAATGTTAAATACCAGGTGCTTTGCTGGAGACGGATGCTGTTCAGCGCGGGTGTTGCGTTGAACACGGAAGCACGCCGGGCGGGCGGCGGGCGGAGGGCTGACGGTGGGAGGGCTGATCGGGATCATAGTAAAAATCCCCAGGACTCTTTCGTGCAGCGGGGTGCAGTTGAGAACTGAATGTTGTGTAAGAGGCGGCGGCTGGTGAGTTTTGGGTGCGGGGGCCAAGATCGAAATCGGAATCGCGCCAAATATTTTGGGATCGGCGCTCGTATCTGCGATCGCCACATCGGCTCGGAAATTGGGAAGTCCAGGCTGGATCGGAATCGAATCGGGGCAATTTGTTCAACGGCGGAACAATGTTGCCAATGTAGAACACGGCGCAGCACGAAACTGGCAGACAGCGATTCACCGTCAACTTGGCCCAACCCATCATGGTCGTCGAAGTTTCTGGTCGGCCTCCGCCCAGACCGCGTAAGTGCACGGCGCAGTGGGTGACTGAAAGCAACCGACAGGCTCTTTAAGACCCCGCGCCGTGGCATGACATCCGCCGTCTCGTTGATGGCCGCGCTGGACGTGTGGCGGTCCGCAATCAATTGTTGACTGCCGAACGTGCGCGATGACTCAGGTGGCAGCGGCGGAGTCTGCGCCGGCGCAGTCG